AACATTTTTGTTGGTTTAATTTGTTTGTCATGTTTTAGCTAATCATTTTACCAATTAGTTTTAAGAACGATACAATTTTATCAACGAATTGTTTTAAAATTATCAGTTTGTATCGATTATCCATATATGAAGAAAAATAAACCAACAACATCCTTAAAATTAACGATAGAATCCAAATTTATATCAGTGTCAAGTAAAATGGAAACTCGATAGATTTATTTTAAAAATAATAATAATCTTATCTAAAAACACTTTGGATAATATATATCTCTCAGACGGAAAAAAAAATATTCGAATTTAATTGCCAATATTTATCATCTAGTTAATTTTCAGAAGTTGAAGCCAGATTCCACATAAACTCAAAACACTATTTTGCAATGGTTTTGAAATTTATGTAAGTAATTTTTAGACTTAAAGCTAATGTAGGAGTAAAAGTAGAATAAGAAATGTGTGGTGATGATAATCATATAATCGACCAAAAATAAAATATAGCTAACAAAAATAAAAAATGGAATACAATTTGGAATGAAATTTGTGACCTTAAGAATTATAAAGAGATCCTTCGCATTCATGCTTTTATCGATTCCTCAAATACAATTCCACGAAACTTTATTGTGATTCCTTGTGCATACATGTTTGCTAGTGGTTTACTTAATCTGCAATATCCATGCATCCACATCTTTCTTTAGAACTAAAGATCCATGTCCATATAATGGTCCTTAAGGTTAACTTAATACTAAGACCATACAAATCTTATCAAATCAAGAAAACTTGACCTCAAAAAGCTAATTATGATGTAATTTCTTAGATGTTGATGTCATCTTTATAAGTTACTTAAAACCCATAAGCATCAACGTAACCTTTCCAAGTTATGTTGATTGGCACTCAAAAATATTTTATATAGAATAAGTAATTATGTGCTTACCTTTATCGTCCGAGTCATTAGGTATAACACCAATTTTGCCTCCTTTGCAAACTCAAGCCTCTTAACTAAAGTTAAGTTTCATCGATAAGAGGAATATACCAAAACAAACATACATAATAGACACAAGCGATAGTTTAGTTTGTATACTTTGTATTCATATCATCAAAACATGAAATGACATCTTAGGTAGTGTTGTCAGTTGTATAACATATATATAGTAGCAACAACATTAAGTTTTTGTGAGAAAAAGATGTTTGAGAGTTTATCGCCATCGCTGTGCTTATATATTGGGTGGCTGATAGGCAATTTACAAACTTTGTGACCATTTCTAATATATAAAAGAATTCACCACAAAGTAGATTAATTATAGAACAAAAATCAAACGAAATCAAACAATAATAATGAAGAAAATAAATCAAACTTTAAGAAAAAAAAAAGCAATACAAATTGCATGTTCATTTCATTAAATTTTATAACCATTATTCATGTCACTATTATATAATTACTAGTTGTTGACCCGCGCTGCGCGCGGGAGGTTTATAAAATTTTTATTTTATTTTTTGTTATATTATAATTTTTGGTTGTTTGTTTTTTGTTTTGCATTGTTTGTTTTGTTGGCTTTTTACTGTTGTTATTTTTGTTATTCTATTTTTCATATCGATTATTTTTTCAATTTTATAGTAATTTAGTATTTGAAATGTTTATCATCATTTGGTATTCGTCAGAGGTCGATGAAAAGTTTATGCAGTATTTTCTCTTTTTACTAAGTATGTGATTAGAAAGATAAAGTTTCTGGTGTGTGGATTTGATATATTCTAGGATCTTGCTTATTTCCCGTTTTTGTCCTACGTTTGAACCCGTGTATCCGGCCAATGATTTTAAAATCGGTATCGTTGTTGCATATGTGTCGCTCTTGTAAATGATGGTTCTAGAAAATGTTTTCCCTGTTCCGTTTAATCATCCAGTTGTAAACTCGTGTATCCCACGTTTTTCTGATTTTTTTAATCGGTTTGATTGTTATGTGTTGGATCTCAGGCCCATGCTTTTTTAGATTTTGTATTTTGATTGTTGTGCAAGTGTTGGACCTCAAGCCCATATTCTTTTGAATTTAGTAAAAAAAAATGATGATGTGGTGGATGATGTGGCGCTGACGTGGCGGAAGGAGAAGAGAGGAAAGGTAACTTTATATATATAGATTACCTTCTTCGTTACTCAACAAAAAGAAATTCAAGCTTCGAACAAAAAATTCAACTTCTCCATCTTGTACCTTGAATCCTTCCGCATCCCAAGCAACCAACCCATAACTTTCATCAAGCCGGTAAGGCAAAATGTGTTAAACAATTTGATATTGAACCCGCGCAACCCATTATGTTTATCGTAATCTCTATATAAGAGAATGTAAATTGTAACATTATATTCATGAGTCTAATATATTTCTTCTTTAAACACTTTTGTGTTCTTTACTCTCATCAATTTACCAAATTTTCAGGTACACAAAATCTATGATTCCTACAACTTATATAGTGTACACATGTTTTTAATTTTCTTTTTACCTAAAAATATTTTTTGAACAAAATTTTCACTAACTTGTATTTAAATTACTAGACTTGATGGAGAATATGATAAAGAAATAAAAGAAAAAATAACTAGTTTGCATTTTGTCCACTTAGTGGCATGGAATCATAACCACAGAAAGCATGGTAAAGAGAGCTTCAAATGTGTTTTAAGCAATTGTATTCAGTAAATATACTATGCTAATTAAGTTAAGAAAAATTGTCTATTTTACAACTTATCTCTAAAACAAAATGGACGTTTTCAGGAAAATTACTAAACCAACAAGTTACTAATAGTTGTGGTATCATTTAGTAAGCTATTCTATTAGCATTTGAAATTTTTAGACTGTGAATGTATATATTTTGGTCAAAAAAAAAAAAGAAAGACTGTGAATGTATATAATGCGATCGCATATGCAAGTAACGACATGACCATTCATTCAATTCAACATTGCAAAATCTATTTTAAAGTGTATTATTTGTCTTGCTGATGATATTGTTAATTGAAATATGAAAGGAAGAGAAACGCAAGTTTAAGGAAACTAAAACAGGCTAATTAAATGAAGCCCAAAATCCTATTTTTGGCTCACGGATATACATTTTACAATACTGTTTAATTCGTCTATGTATACACTATACAAGACCTGCATAAGTCTTGACTTATAAAACACTAAAATACATTATTGATCCAAATTTTAAACTCTATTTTTTGTAAAAATATATAAACACATTAAACTATCAACAAATTAAGTAGGCAATAATTTGATGAACTCCAAAGGTTATAAACACACTGCACCTATTCATCATTTCATTGCATGGTAAATAATATTTTGATGAATCTAGGAATTTTGATTAGGATAATATATATATATATATATATATATATAAGATATCAAATACTTTCAAAAATGAAGTCATTAGTCAAAATGGGTATTAAATAATTTATTAACCATTTTTTAAAAAAATTATATTTTACCTGATGTCGAATAAAATTATACTGAACGAATTATTTTTTAAAATTATCCACGTACAGTATAAAAACGTGATAGGCATATATATAGTTTATATGTGTTTATCAGTTTTTTCGTTTTCATTGGCTTCAACTACACAAAACATTTTACGTATAAGGCATATGTAGACAAATTAAAGAGATCAAAATGACTAATATATATTAAACTAATGATAAGACTTTACAGTGAAACTTCTCGATCGACCACGTTAAGTTGTGGCTGGAACAAAGTGGCTCCAAAACACCACCATGAGACTATGAGTTTTGTGCCTTTGTGCTACATATTGAATATTCAAGTAGCTAGCTAGTTGTGTTGACGAATAAGAAAATGATTCAACCCATCCAAAATAATCAGCGTGATTAAGAAGAAGAAATAATAGAGACTATTGTATAAATAATAATACAAAAATGATAAGAGAATCTATAGTAATCAAAAATAACCAAAAAAAAAAACAAAGAACGAAGATGGGACGACGAGAGAGCTATCGCCCACTCATGGCGTTAGCGTCACGTGATAGAATCACTATTCTTCCTATACCTTCGGCTGTATCCTGTATTTTTCCGACAATGACGACTACATTTTCATATCTTATACAATTTTATAATATAGTAATTATCTATCACCATTTCATACCAAATTGCTCCATCTTAAAAGTGAAATCTAAACTTTTAACTCATAATTTTTTTTATCGCTGAAAATAAATTTCTAATTTTTAATTCATAATTTTTGTTAATATCGAAAACCTAGTAACTTTGAACCTTTAACTCGATAACTTTGAAAGGAACAAAAATTACCGTCAATAATATCACGTTTTTATATGAGATTAAACTATTAACCTTGAGTTGTTACTCTTAACACCCACAAGACCATCATTCACGCGCAACATTAAATTTCTAAATTAGTTTTATTATTTTGTTAAAAAATATTAATTTATCGATAATATTTAAAATAACAATTAAATTTAATTTCATACCGTCTAAATAACGTCGACTAATCTTTTTACTCTATATCCTATATATTATTAACCTATGCAAAAAAAAAAATCTATAAAACCTTATGATTCCAAGTTCCAACCAAAACATTTTAATCAATACTTTCTCTAGCCAAGTAAAAAAAGTAACTAGTGTTTGTTCAAGTCAATGAAATAGAACTTGCACAACAAAACAAAGGACTACCATAATTTCCGGAATGGTCCAAGATCAGACCACAAGAAGTCACAAACTAGCTTTGCTCACTCCTCACTCCTACAAAACTGATTAATTAATTATAGTGTTAAACTAAACAAGTCTCTAATCCTACGCTCCATTAAACACTATTTTTAAACTACATTTGCATGTGACTACAGCTTCAATCTGGCGATCATCGTGGCCTTTTCTCATGATATCAACTGCACTTGCAGAGTAGCCTCATTAATTATCAAAAACATTACAATACAAATATAAAAAAATAAAAACATTATCATATTAAATTTTTTTATAACCAAAACAATGCATTCATCATTCTATTATTTACATTAGAAAGCCAAAAGACTTATACAAAAAGAGAGAGAGAGAGATAAGATCACAATGAGACGGCAACCACCACGTCCACGTCACTCACCACCGCAATCTCACTCTTCTCCGTCGTCTTCTTCGTCGGAATTCGAGTTCAACGTCTCGATCTCTCCTCGGAAAGCTTCTTCTTCGCTTTGTCCCGCCGATGAGCTCTTTTACAAAGGTCAGCTTCTCCCTCTTCAGCTCTCTCCTCGTCTCTCTCTTGTCCGTACGCTCTGTTCCTCTTCTTCCTCTGAGTACACTTCTTCTTCCTCCTCCTCCTCCTCCGCCGCAACCTCCGCCGCACGTGACTCAACTGAGTCTAACTCCTCCACTGATTCCACCGCTTCTTTCCCTCTCCTCCACCCTCCTCCGCTTGATTGCTGTGAGTCTTCTCGTCCTAGCTCTGTAACCGACGATGAAGACTTCTTCTTTAAACCTCCAAAGAACAAATCTTACGGTGGAGGTTTCTCTCTTTCAAGATTCTCCTCTGTTTTCAAGAAAGATACCAAAACCAATCTCCACCACTCCTCCTCCTCCTCCGCCGCAGCACCCACATCAACCGCCGCAGCTCCGTCGTCGGTTAAACGAATGAGCTCCACCGCGAAAGAAGTTATACGCAAATACATGAAAAAGGTCAAACCTTTATACGACAAGTTCTCTCAAAAACAGAGCACCACCGTTATAAAAACAGAGCCATCAACAACATCTCTCAAAGATTCCGGCAACAACATACCTAAAACCACCATCACCACCACCACCGCCTCCGCCGCACCAACCGGCGTCTCCTCCAGCGGAGGCTTATCAATCTCATTCTCAGGAAACCTAATGAAATACACTAAACGAGGACGATGCGCGGCGAGCTGTCCATCGTCGATGAGGTCATCTCCGAGTCACTCCGGCGTACTGACACGTGGCGGTTTCCCGGTACATCAAGGAGGTAGCAGCAGCAGCAGCAACAGCAACAGCAGCAGTGTGTCTTCTTCAATGGAAGAGTTACAAAGTGCTATACAAGGAGCTATCGCTCATTGCAAGAACTCAATGTTGCAGAAGAGTTTGGTTAGTAGTCTCGAGATCTAGCTTATATCTTTTGGATCCATTTTTATCATGTTTTTATTTATTTCTCATATGTCTTGATTTTTCTAGTCGTTTTTTAAAGATTTGATCTACAACTCTTTTGTCTTAGTGCGATGATCTAAACATTCGATTTAATTTAAACGATGTTATTGGTTGTTTTATATACATTTTGTTTGATTAACTTAACTCAAAAATAATACATTGTAGTATATGGGTGAATCATTTTATAGATTCATCTTGGTTTCAATTTCTTTTATATGTCATTGTGTTGTTGTTTTGTCAAAAAGAAACGGGTCAAAACTCATATATAGATAGATACTAATGGTTTGAATGGTTACAGCGGTTAGTGACAATAAATCCGTTTATTGATTGGACCGCATTTTATTTACCATTTACAAATCAAAACTATAGTTTATAATGGTGTAAACCGATAAAAATACAAGAAATCCGCTACGGATCAACTACTAATCTTTTTTACATAATTCAATCCGTCTCAAGAACAAAATAGTTCAATCCGCTAACGGTTTAGACCACTTTACTCACAATATCCATTCAAAGTCTAGCTATGGTTTTAATATATTTGTATCCAACCAACCATTGTTTATATGTTCCGATCTCGTTATTTTGATTGATTATGATTTAAGTAGATCCATTAAGCAAATTAGGGTTATATAGACGTTGTGAAATAATTGAGAGAAACAAGAAAACGACGGTGGGGTTTATGAATTTTAAAAATAATTGAAGAATTATTGGATTATTGAGTACCTTCATCAAGTACTATTATGTGAAACTGGTTCACTTCTTTGTACCTACCTTATCTTCTCTCTCTCCATCTCTATATAGTTCTTGTCGGTGTTCTATGTTGATCATAACTTAATGTACTTACTTCATTTTAATAATCTCAACTGAAAATATCTTTATATCCAACTATTATTTGTGGTTCTTGTGTGGACAATAATGGCTCTCTTCTAAGTATTTGTGACTTTAGCATCAACAAAAAAAATGTTACGAGTTGATACAAATTGCCAAAAGAATAGTATATTCTAGTCATTGTTTTGAGAAAGGTTTTAGATATGATGTAACCTACGAAAATACTAAAAGTTATTGAAAGTAATGTTATTATATATACTAGCTTATTTGGATGCACATAATTGTACTTTTACGTATATTTTAAGAAGAAAAAGAAAAAAATAACACTTTGGAATTGATTGATTGGAAATTTAAAATGTTTATAAAGAGATCGAAATAGGTATAAAGAAATTTCCCATCAATGGTTTAATTTCACAAATGAGGAAAAATATCTACAAAAGTATATATATTGTATTCATATATACCGTATATCACTATTCAAACCCAATTTATAGGATTACCATAAACTTAAATATCCCAAGAATAATGAAACTGAGATTGCATGACAGTACAATACACATGTTTCTATAGATTTTGTTAAGGGTTATTATTGAAATGATATATTATGATATGGTTAGTACAATTAGAACGGCCGTATACGTGGAGTAGAAGCTCAACAACATGAATCTCACATATGCATATGTTTGGTTCTAAGTGGATGGATGCATGTGCTCGAGTACTCTTCTTTGCATTGAGAAGCGTTGGGTGGTACGTAACATAAAGATTCTAAAATGTGTAGTCAAAGGTCAATGCTTCTATACACACTTTGTTTATCTTATATATACATTACAAATTTTACTTATATGATTTTTAATCATAGACAATAATGTCTTCATTTAATGATGGGGGACTCTTCATATTTTTATTTTTTCTTGACCAATTTTGATGGTATAAATACAAGCACAGTGAAATTTCATTATTGTTATGTAATGGGGACCTCTTCATTATTGTTATTTTTATTTTTTCTTCAACATCGATCTTGAGTCCTAGTTTTTATAATTTATATATACATTTATATTAAAATTTAGTTATATATATATATATATGTAAATACTAATTTTATAACGATGTTTCTACAATTAAAGTCGTTCGTCGTGATTTTAGGTATTGAAAAAGAAGAAAATGTCGTCATTCGTGAATTACCGAAGGTGCCCATTATCAACATGAAAAAAATGAATCTAATAAAAACAGAATGAATATTGTAAAAATCGTGTAAAAACAAATTGCGAACACTAATAATAGAATGAACAGTTTTCATAATTTATAATAATTAGTAAATTTAAGAAGACGATAATGTAAAAAAAACCACTGATTCCAAAACTAATGCTCATCTTCAAGTTTTTAGAATGTTCATTCTATTATTAGTGTTCGCAATTTGTTAAATAGTAACTCTTGCAATTTTTGTGTTTTTAGTTTCCATCTTTAGTTATGTACAACCACAATCATGACACGTCACTTTGTCCCATATGTATGTAATTGTCAATAATGAGATAATTATATTTTTGGAGTATATAGTTAATTTACTAGTGTGCATGATTAATAATTAGTCGAAAACAATAATAGTAAAAAATATACTAATGTTATATATTTACTACACTCAGGGTAGGTTGGAAACTTGGAACAGTGTATGTAATTGCGTTGCATGGAAATAGACAGTGACATGTGTTTAGTAACATCTTTGGTAGCATCGCTGTCTCAAATTTAAAGAGTGTATGAGACTGATCGATCGTCACAGTGTCGCTGTAAGACTACACTTTCGGCTACCAATCGCAAGATTTAATGGTATCAGCTAACTTAATATCATTTTTTCAATTTTTTTTAAATATAGTTTATGAATTGAAAGATGGTATTTAAGATTGTAATAATTATCTAGAAAAAAATTCAACCAAAATTAAAAGATGGGAAAAAAGAAACATTATAAGGGTTGTGTAATTAACAAGTTGGAGTTAAACAAAAAGAAAAACATTATTATCAGTTTTTTTTTTATAAACCCTATCGGCTGATCCGGTCAGCCTCGGTAGAAACACATCAAAGTGCTTCATAATGGACTACTTCCCGAAAGGCTACCATACTGTTTTTCCCGAGTTTGGAATGCTTTCCGACTAATGCCAGAAGGTAATCAGACCGTCTGCATTTCTGACTACCAGGTAAACAAATTGGGTTTTGGCTCAATTGACAGACTTCCCACCCAACAATAATTTTTTGTTTTCAAGGTGGATCGAACATGGGTTAGTTCCTTTCAACCTTTCCCTAATTCTCTCTTACTACTGGACCACATCTGTGTGGGTAAAACATTATTATAATGTAATTAACAAGTTGGAGTTAAACAAGACTTATATGATAAATAACAATAACTTCCCCTGTTATATACCGATCGGCTATATGTTAAAATTAGTTCGGTTGGTAAACCATTCTTTTTTCTGAATAATCAGTTTATACTACAAGTATACTAGTTTTACAAAATATTTAAACCAATTTCTGTTAATAACAGAATCAAATTGAACCAAACTACCCGAATCTAACATAATTAACCGAAAAATGGATTGAAAAAGATAGCCAATTTTGGTTTAAAATTTCAAAACCGAAATCAACCGATGAAATGATCCAACCAAATCAAATACTAACCGAAGTCGGATGACTGACTTTTAGTACGGATATTATTTATGTGGTCTTTTTTTTCTGTGTCTGTTCGGTCTCATGCATGTCTCTAAAACGAATATAGATTTAGGATAATTCAGATTGATCTTTTGATAAACGTGTATTTTAGTTTCAATATTATACTTTGGATACTTTTTGCATTATGTTATTGTTGATGATATGATGCATCATGCATCGGTTCAGACATCCATGTACCATAACAATATATACTCAACAATCAAAGGTGGAGACAACAATGGTCATGCTCATCTCATGCATTCATAGTCATAGACATACTTCTCCGACAAAATTAAAATCATCAAAGTAAGTTTGGTTGTCGATGAAGTTGAACCACTCGTCGTACTCATTGTTAGGACTAGATGTAGGTAAGGTTGATTCAACCAGCAGCTGTCTCCACAAGTCGGATTCTCCAATATTTGTGTCTTCATGAAATCCGCATGAGATATTATCCAGTACTTGAGGATGATCAAATGATTGAGATTTGGTTACCTCTTGAGTCACACCACCAGTGGTTGAAATGTGAGTTTGGTGGTCATGAAGAAGAGAATCTAGAGGAAATAACATATCATTGTTCTGAAGGAACTCAGAGGTTGTATCATCAAAGTCATCATGGTCGAGCAGGAACTGGATCTCGTTAAGTTCATTATTAACCTCATGCAGCTCTGGTTTTGTGTGGATACACTTGTCTTGGGAATGTGAAGCTGAGTCTTGGCTATCATTTAACTCTGACTTCTCTTCTTCTTCGTGAGCTCCTTCACATTTCTTGTCATGATCTTCTTCTGTGCTTTGATCATGAGTGCTAGAGATGGATGAAGACGAAGAAGAAGAAGAAAAAGAAGAAGATCGAGTACTGAGTCGTTTCTTGAGATGAGTGTTCCAAACGTTCTTGATCTCGTTGTCTGTTCTTCCAGGCAAGAAGGATGCGATCTTTGACCACCTGATCACATATAAAACTTAGTCTCTACATACTATTTTTGTCTTATATATCATAAGGAAATAACAATGAGTTGGTACAAACTTGTTTCCAAGGGTTTGATGATAGTGAATGATAGTATCTTCTTCCTCTTTGCTAAAGTTGCCTCGCTTCACGTCTGGTCTCAAATAGTTTATCCATCTCAGTCGGCAACTCTTCCCACATCTCATAAGTCCTATATTTACATCATTCATTAGTTATTTATCAAAACTATATAGTATTATTACTGAAACATGCATGGACGACATATTAAACACTAACCAGCAAGCTTGGGAAGAGATCTCCAGTTGAGATGGCCATGTTTTTGAATAAAGGTGATGAGAGTGAGATCTTCTTGAGGACTCCATGGCCCTCTCTTCACTTTGTTCTTGTCGCAGCATGGTGCTCTTCCTCTCCCCATTCTCAATAACACTTTCTTCTCTCTAGCTTCACTTTTATCTTTCTGTATATATATGCAATTGTTATGTTTTTGATTATCATCCGTAGCTTCTATAATTGTTATTAAACCGTCCCTTTACGTCAGATGTGTTTGTATAATAATTGTTATTGAAAGACTAGATTTATTTGAGCCTAGAGGCACTTCACTCGTAGACAAAGAACCAAAAGCATGGAACGTACGGAAGTGAAATTTCATTATTATTGTATATGTTAGTGTACATATTACAATGTCCATTAAGTATTATTTTGAAAATAAAAACATATTATTCATTGATGAGTTACGTACGTAAATATATATATAATGTATATTAGTTGACCATCATGAAGGAAATATTTATATAGTTTTTAAACCTTTCTGGATTATTCAATTGAACGATATTTTTATACAAAAAAAGTTTTTTGCATTATTCGATCAAGGCAATAGTTTAGATTTAGATATGAACATTGTATACTTTAAGAGAGGATGTTTGTATGTGTAAAAGGCCACAAGGACCATGCCACAAACAAAATTAACACCAATTGGAGTTATAAATAGAATAAAATCTTTAATTCTAATTGATTAACATTAGTTTGTTTATTGTTTATTAATCATGATGACACTTTTCTTATTTGAAATTTAGTTCAGAATGAGAATTTTATAATCCTTTTCTTTAGCTTATTTATTTGTTTACTTCTTTAATATTTCTTACAAAACTTAACCCACATCATCATCAAATACTGAAGTTTTAGGTTTATTTTTGTTTACAAAGAGTAATAAAATTTCACATTTCTGTTAGTATTTAGAGAAAATTTGTGTATACATACATAGACATTGCGTTTTCATATAAATTTATTATCGGTATAGGAACATCTGATTTACCCATGTTTAATTATTTGATTATTTCTCTGTGCCTAGCTATATGTATTTTAAGACGTTTTTTAAAAATATATATATATTCCAAATGCTAATTATTTCTAGAAAAATGCTACTATATCTGTATTTGTGTAATATGTGAGATTAGGATAAAAACTAACACCATAAGTAAGATTTTGCTCTAACTAACATGATAAATAACATAAAGTACTGAGACTTACGAATAATGTCGACTACTTTATATATATACTCCTTCTTAAACTAATTATAAACTTTTCACACATATTAAAAACTGATTATGAATCTATTTTCTGTAACTATAAACCAGTACTAATTAATCAATTATTTTCACACATAAGAAGTACAATGACTTTTTTTTCTAAAAATTGGATTAAACAAAAATGAAATTAAGAGTAAAATGATGATGATGATTAATTCTTATGTCGGTGCTTTCCATGAATTTAAGTACGGTATATGGCATGGTTAAGACTTCAAACCCACGCCACCTAAGTTCTGATGTAAGATTGCGCCAAAAGACCTATATACTTTATTTTAAACACATAAGGTATGCAAAGTATATGTTTAATGCAAGATGTACTAAAATAGGAATACCATAGCTTCTATTTCAGTTAGGCAAGTAAGATCAGTTTTTTTTTTTTTTTTCTTAACCAGGAGGTTTGGGCTTTAGGCTGTAATCCTTATAGAGTTCGGGGAAAACCGGATGAAAGCCCATGGCTAAATGGAAATATCTAATAATTTTACGTTTGAAAGGAATCGATCTTTGGCCTAGACTAACATGACAACTCCTCACTCAAATGGAAACTACTAGACCAAGACCACTTGGTTAAGATCAGTCTTAAGCTTGTATAACTCTCTCTTATCATTTTTGTTTATGAGGTTAGTTAATTAAATGTGTTACGAGGTAAACTTCTAAGCAAATAAAGGTACGAACAAAATGTGTGTGCAAGTACGAACTATCCATGCCTCATATATTCCCAACTCCCAATCAAAATCAGCTTACGTACTTCTTTTTGTACGTATGTATATACGGATACAGAAATATATATAAAAAAAATACATACACATGAAATAAAATAGTCATAAAAGAGATTGGACATAAGGTTAAGTTTCAAAACGTGACGTAACATGTTGGTCTAAGATAAGTATAAAACAAAAAACATAAACATGATGAAACCTTGTAAATGATTGGCAAGTAGAGATATACAAATATAAACAAGTTTTGTTTTATTTGGAGTGGTCAACATATATGAGTTAAATAATTCATATTTAAAAAGGAAATTAAGAGCTTGTGAGGAAACTGTATGTATAACACTTCTTCCTCGCGATGTCGTGTGACTTGTACACTTGTACGCGTGCCTGACTTCGACTCTACAAGTCTTTTTGACAATTGAATATATTTGGTGTGGTCCGTACGTAAAATATCCTCCAACATGTAATTACGAAATAAGATAATGTTGCTCAAAGTTTTTAATTGATGTACGATGCTTTTGTTTAAGAAAGCTGCAAAGTAACAAGAGCATCAGTTATAGATGATGAAAGTTTGAACAAGAATCTACCAAACCTTTTGCCCGCAAGGTGAAGGGCGAATGGTAGGACTAGCATGGATGAAACACCTAGAGACCTTTCTTTCTCGCTGCTATAACATCTTGTTGGGAAGTACAATATTGGTTGGACTTTGATCCAATTAGTAAACCTAATGATTATTTTTGAGCATTAGTCGAAAATCATTTTAAACTTAGAATTCGACAATATGGTAGTCCAAATATTAAGATGTTTATGATGAGTCTACATGATAATATTTCAATGCTCACCGGATAAGGCGATCTAGTATATCAAAAAAAGAAAAAACTTCCTAGCCTTAGTTCACTACATTGTGCCTTGGACGCACACCGAAGAAGAGAGCTCATTTTTCACATGTGTTCTTTTTTTTTTTTTTTCCTTGTTAAAGAAATGTTATTGAAAAGGTTCAGAAAAAGGCTAAAAAGCTAAAATTATGGTTCAATTAGATAGAAGAGAAAACATTAAATCCACATACAACATATCTAGGCCAAAAGAGAGAACTCATAAGTAGTCTTTACGCATATATATATACAAAACTGTTCCAAGTTTTGTTTGTCGATCTGAGCCTGGTCATATAAAGAAATTTGTAAATAACTCAAAGAGACAACATCGATAAATTAAAGAAAAATTGGAGGTTACATAGATTCTTTAATAGATAACACAAACAAAAGTAAGCAGAACCACCGAAATGTCTCTCTTAAATCTCATACCAAACCATATTTCAACTACACTTGCTTGACCTTCTTGATGGTAAGCTTCATCTCCAACAAGTCACCACGCTATGAAGAGTGAGGGATAAACAAGAAATTCTCTAGAGGGGTTTGAAAACTCACTTCAAGAACTCTCTTTATGTCTGGTGATTTGTAAGTCATAGTATGCCCATCCACAGTGTAGGAGAGATGATATGAGAACTTCCCTATTTCTGGAGCAGACGGTGCAATGCAGCTTACAGTTACACACACACCATACGGCTCCCTAAAACACTGCACCACGAACAATAGCTTCTTTGAAGAGTCCACTTTGATTTTTATCTTCTTTTTGATGTTCATCCGAATAGTAGAGGATTTCTTATAAGTTAATAATGTATATGGGTGTAAGAGAGTGGAACGAGGACGAATGGATAGGCAACGGATCGGAACGGTTTATGAGAATAATAGTGAGAGAAGACATTTCTGTATGAGCCAGTGTAAACGCAGTCCAATGCAGGACAGGAGCATTGAGAGAAGAGACATTCCTTTTCATGAGTTGATTCTAACTCATAAGAGAAAATATCAAAGCAACCAAACTTGGCGTTTGGGCATGGAATAGAGATTGAACTAAGAACACTCTCCATTAGTCTACAGCGAATGTGGCCAATAGGCAAATCGCATGCATGACACATCTTACTCAGTTTAGGACAGCAAGAGGAGCAAGCCAAATGTCCATTTTCACACTGTAAACACAAAACCAATTATATAACAATCAAACCAATATTTGATAAAACATAACAAGAACACATTATATGAAGGAGAAATCAATTACCACAGAAAATATAAATAAAGTCTCGACCTTACTATCAAAATGACCAAAATTCCAAAACCATAATCTTCTAAATATATATGTATATTATCTCATACAAAAATGCATTAAAAGCCAAAATGTAACCTGAAAGATAGGTATTGTGAGTGGCTCGAAACAAACAGGACAATCTAGAACATCAAAATCCAGAATGGCCGTACGTTTGTTATCCTTGTTTCGTTGCTTCTTTCGCATGTTAATGTTACTCACACCATTTTTATCGCTTGAGGCACACTCCATATTTGATGAAGACTATAAGGGAACCCTTCATGTATTATATAGGAGAGATGGGTTTCACCCTAAAAACCCCTATGTCTTCTTAGACTCCGATTTCCGAAGACTATGAAGTAAAAGGTGCATGCAAAGAATATTATGACTTGGACAGAATTCGAAGAGTTTGATAGGATAAAAGACCTATATATATATATTTTTTTTTGGGTAAATTGACGGGAGATAGTGCCCTCCCTATGTTTTATTAATAAAAATCAAAAATTACACATAAAAATTTCTTGGCTGAGGTGAACCAACAACATCCTCATGCAAAATCAAAGCCAAATCCGGCGGTACAACATCCAAAACATAAAAACCTAAAGGTACCAAAAACGCATAGTTCACTAACCCGTCCGCAAGACGGTTAGCTTCCCTATACACGTGAGCAATGCGGACATTCCAGTCCCTCGTAAGTAAGCCATGGCACAAGCATACCAGGAACGACAACGGATGCATTTCACTTATCCCTGTCTTGAGAAAACCCACAACCATCTCTGAATCCACCTCCACCTCTAAACATGGTATCCTCTTCTCCCAAGCAATGTGAAGACCGTAAAAGACTCCCCAAAGCTCCGCTAGAGGAGCAGTACACCGACCAATATTGCACATGAATCCACCAAGCCATTCACCATGTTCATTACGTAACACTCCACCAGCTGTCGCAATCCCTGGGTTCCCGCGCGATCCTCCATCCGTATTAAGCTTAACCCAGCCAGACCCCAGAGTAACCCATTTAATCAACCGCTCAACTCGCACCCGAGCCTGCCTCGAGACATTATTTAGCGGACGGGATTCCCCCACCTCCCTCGCAAGATCCTTAATAACTTTAACACGATCTCGACAAAGTTTATTACCACCGAACACATTCTCGCACCGCCATTTCCACCCCCACCAGCACGCAACAGCAAAAACAGTCGCCCATGTGCTCTCAAAGACTTTAGTATCCATCCCTAAGTTCTCATACAACCACTCAAGTAAGGACATATCAAAAAAAACACCTCTTCTATCCCTAGGCACCAACCTCTCCCATATACCGGCCATGGCCGGGCAATCGCGCAGGACATGGAGAACCGTCTCTACTCCCCCATGGCAAACTGAGCACACTCCAGTGTCACTTAGATGTCGTCTCTGTCTTTCACTATTTGTCATTAGAACTCGCTGCGAGGCTAACCACAAAAACACGCGAACTCTCTCCGGAGCTCTAACCTGCCAAACTCGCTTATAGAACCCAGCCATGTTTTGCTTCATCTTCCTATCACGAGTCATAAACTCATAAGCAGACTTCACACTGAACATACCATCCGTTGTATTTCCCCACGACAATCTATCTTTAACCCCAGACACATTATCCACCACGACAGCCATAAGCTCCAGCTTTTGCGTATCCGTAATGTAAGGATCAATACGATTAAAATCCCACCCACTGCCATCAACCCAAAAATCTCGAACTTTAGTATGCAGAAACGACTCCGGAATCTGCGTGTGCCCGCCGTCGTGAACGGTAACCGACCCTAGCCATCTGTCAGTCCAGAACCGAATCGTACAACCATCGCCAACAACCCAGCCATGAACTCCCAAAATCACATCTCTAAAACCACAGCCCACCCCACGCCATAAGACCGACCAATTACTTCTGACTTTTAACCAATTAGATTCGTGAATATCACCAACAACATACTTCCCTCTCACTACACGAGCCCAAAGACTAGTATTGTCCTGAAGCACCCGCCATCCTACTTTCGCTATTAATGCTAAATTCATATCAGCAGCCTTTCTCAAACCCAAACCGCCCTCACCCTTAGGACAGCAAACACGATCCCAAGCAATTAAATGTTGCTTTCTCTTCTCCGTAGTACTCCCCCATAAAAAATTACGAGCCACACTATCAAGTTTCAACAAAATAGCCGACGGTAATTTGATGGTGCTCATCGAATGGACTGGAATCGACGCCAACACTGACTTAGTTAACGTTATCCTTCCTGCTAGACTAAGCATCCTACCTTTCCAGCCGGATAGCCGATTAGAAACCCTCTCCAAAATATCTCCAAAAGTGTCCTTGTTGATCCGCTTATGCAAAACCGGCATCCCTAAATATTTCCCCAAATCATGCGTAGCCTTTATCCCACTTTCATCACTAATCAACTTAGCAAGATCGCGTGACACATTCTTAGAGAAGAAGATTTTCGACTTCTCTAAGCTTACTTTTTGTCCTGAGGCCAAACAAAATCTCTCCAACACTCCCCTGATAACTCTAATTTGCGAGACCGAAGCTTCAGCAAAAAGAATTAAGTCATCCGCAAAACAGATATGCGAAAGTTTAGGACCACCTCTGGACAACGCTATAGGCTTCCAATGCTTTCCTCCAACCGCCGCATCAATCAAATGACATAATCTCTCCATACAAAGGACAAAGAGATATGGTGACAACGGATCCCCCTGACGCAATCCTCTTAAAGGTTTAAACGATTCCGTTCGTTCTCCATTCCATAACACACTCATAGAAGGCCAGCAACACACTGCATAATCAGCTGCACCCACAAGTCTGACAAGCCTGCTGCATGAAGAGTATCTTCCAAGAAGTCCCATCTGATCCTATCATAAGCTTTTTCAAGATCAAGCTTCAATAACATCCAACCTTTTCTCCCCTGCTTCCTCCTCATAGAATGCACGGCTTCTTGGACAATGACAATATTATCCGTACTCAAACGACCCGGGATAAAACTAGTTTGAGTAGGCCCAATAAGCTTCGTCATAACTGGTTTCAGCCTTCCCACCATCGTGTTTGTGAGAATCTTGAATAAGACGTTACACAAACTAATGGGACGGAACTGAGTTATCCTCTCTGGAACAGCCACTTTCGGTATCAAAACCACTAAAGCATTATTCGTTTCCACGGGAAGCTCACCGGTAGCAAAGAAATCCATTGTGAACCGTATTACGGAATCCCCAACAAAATCCCAACACTGCTGGTAGAAGACTGGTTGATACCCATCGGGTCCCGGGGCTTTAAGACTACCCATGCTCCGCATAGCCTGCTCCACTTCTAAGGGCGAGAACGGTTTATCAACAACCGATTTATCCGTGGGGGAAATACGGACAAAACCACCTGAAGGTAAAGACGCTGTTACGGGACTAACATCCTCGAGAGAGTACAGTCTTTTAAAGTATCCAACCGCTAATTTCTCGAGATCCTCATGGCTTGAAACCCAGCAACCCTCATCATTTTTCAGCAGCTCAATGCGATTCCGTCGACGCCTTATGATTGTTGAAGTATGAAAGAACTTCGTATTTCTATCCCCATGAATCACCCATTTCTCCCTTGATTTCTGTAGCCATAAAATTTCCAACACAATATCAAGTTCCTTCAACAGATCACTTTCCCGAGCTAAAAGAGCATCAGTATGGTCACGGTCAATACTGTCCTGAACTTCTGAAACCTCCTTGACTAGTGCCTCTTTTCGACCTTGGATATTACCGAACACATCTCGGTTCCATTTCCTCAAGACTTTCTGCAATCTCCGTAAAGCCTCTCTTGTATCAATATTTCTGTTCCAAGAAGAAGAAACCAAATCCCGAAAACCCGAATGCTGCAACCAAGCTGCCTCAAAACGGAATGGTCGCCGTCTTGCATCATTACCCACCACCGGTGATAATTGAACATACAACGGGGCATGATCCGAGGACAAAAAAGGAAGATGAGCAACAGAAGCCTCATGCCAAGTAAGTCTAGCTTCCGCACAGCACAACACACGGTCCAACCGTTTTGCTACAAAGTTCCTTGTAGTTTTACCTCTCTTCCAAGTGTATTGATTACCCCGAAAACCCATGTCAATCAAAGACATCTCACTGATCCAATCTCCAAATGCTAAAGAATCCGCATATAGACAACCGTTCCCTCCTGTCCTCTCATCAATACGAACTATCGTATTGAAATCGCCTCCGATCACCAAAGGCCCAGTAATACCAACAATAACATCGCGTAACTGGGCCCAAAGCCCACTTCTCCGAGTAACCGTAGGGGCTGCATACACCACCACTAAGTTAAGAATCGCATCCCCTTTAGTCACCTTCGCATAAATGTATTGATCGGACGAACTGACAATCTCCACAACCCCGATATCAGTTCTCCACAATAGTCATAATCCGCCACTTTGCCCCACCGCATCAACACGGTAAGAGTTATCAAATCCCAAACCGTAGCAAATCCTCTTCGCCTTATCTCCCCCAGCATGGGTTTCAAAAACCGCCAAAATGTCCGCATTATACTTCTTCAAAATATACCGAATCGAACGCCTGAAATTGGGTTTATTGGCCCCCCGGCAATTCCACAACAAGCAATTCATCATTAAAATATGATCAAACAAACGAATTACCGGGGCGAAACATTATTTGTTAGCCTCCCGATCCACTCCTATCTCGGTCAATGGAGAAACCATTACCATTGCTAAGCTAGTCAAATCCCTTCCCATAGCAGAACTCGACTCGACAACGTCATTCAATCTCGGAACCTGGTCGGAGTTGATGATGGGCATATCCTGCTCAAGCCGGAGACGTTTGCCGGACAAAGAAAACCCAGCCTCACCCCGTATTGGGCCGAACACTAAACCCCGAGAATTGTTGTTCGTGTGGGCCTGCTTAACGCGATACTTCTCATGGGCCTTCTTCTGCGCAGCATTTTTCTCATTCCGGCCCAACTGGCCACCCTTCTGTGATTCAAAAACCATAGACTTTCCTTGTCCCGCACTCTTCTCTTGTCCCAATTGATTCAGCGTATTATGATTTTCCTTATTCGCCTCAATCCTGCATGATTTTGCCATAACACCCGAACCTTCCAAATCTTCCTCAAGCCTTCCAAAACTGTTTGAAACCAAAATATCCGTATTTTCTTTCCTTCTCTGACCACCTTGAATATTTTGTCGCCGTACCGGAGTATCACGCTTCCCCAAATCTCCGGGGACTCCCCGATGTAACTCCGATCTTTTTCCTCCATTCCGAACCGGAGTAAAACCATCTCCCAGCTGACTATCCCCCGGAGGACTTCGAACATGTGCTTGCGGTTGAGTAGTTACAGCCCTCCCAGAACTCGGATCCTTCTCAGTCACCCCCTCTGGTGCCCTCTCCTTAACAGCACTTGGACACGTGTGAACCAAGTGACCATACAACCCACAACATGAGCAAATAGTCGAGAGACCCTCATACGAGACATAATACCTCTCCCCATTAATCATCACAGAACCTTTTAGTGGCATCTTCAAGTTCACCTCAACACAAACTCGAGCAAACCGTGCCCTAGAGAAATTTGTCGTTGTGAGGTCCACTTTAATCGGTTTCCCTAGTCCCTCGGCAATCCCCATTAGAATTGTTGTATGATAAAATGACACCGGTATATTTGACAATCGCACCCACACCGGAGTCATTTCAAGCTCATCCCGAACCGGATCAAAGTCTGGTGACCACGCTTGAACCATCAAGTAACTACCGAACACCTTCCAAGGTCCTCCCGTCAATGCTGCTAGATATTCATCGTCTGACTCGAACCGGACCATAAAAAATTGTCGAGGTAAATCCACGACCACCATGTCACGGCTCGGCCTCCACAACTCCTTCAACCGACGACTCAGCACAGCTACGGGTACATTCCGCCCCAAAACCTTCACAATCATACACCGTTTCCATAGGCCGTGCATAGCCTCTATAACCTCCGCTCCTATTGTGATCACCGGTTCCCCATTCTTACCGTTTGGAAACTCCAGCCTCAGCCTCGGCTTGACAAACTCATGGGTTACAACATCCTCTGGTCGCGGCATCCCCCCTCCAAGACTCCCTTTCACTTTTTGAACCCACAGCCCCGGTTTATCTGGTGGGTCCCCAGGAGGTTGACTTCTCCCTCCAACCTCCTCCATTGTAGCATCCTGATCTCCCGTAGCCGAAACCCTAATCTCGCCTCCACTGGGAACCCTAGAATCGCTCATCGCTTTCAATAGAGGATTAGGTTAAATATAAGATGCTTCTTTCTAACGCTAACTGAGAGAGACTAGACCTATATATATATTGATCATCCGTATATATACTTTATTAACTCAAAGTAGCATCATCAATAAATTAAAGGCTATTTGGAAGGGGCTTACACAAAATATTCAATAGATAATAAACTAAAAATAAAAATAAGATGCAAAGTAGCTAGAGAGCATATTCAGTTTCAAGAATATAGATACACAAGATGAAAGTTTGAACAAGAAGTCTACCAAACCTCGTAGCCTATTAGCTGACAACATTGTGTTCTGGACGCACACCAAAGGAGAGCTCATTTCACAAGACTTTTATTTTCTTCTTAAAGAATTACAAATGTTACTGAAAGTTGCATTAAAAAAGCTAAAATTATGGTTCAATTAGATATACATAATAACATTTGTAAATAGCTCAAGAAGTAACATCGATAATTTAAAAGAAAATTGGATGTCCTGCCTAAAAGATAATAAAAAAAAAAAAATAGGCAGAACACACCACCCGAAATGTCCCTTAATCTAATATAGCAAACCATATTTTTATAACACTTGCTTGACCTTAATGAAAACCGATGTAAAGCTTCATCTCCAACAAGTCACCGAGCAAGGAAGAGTGAGGGATAAACAAGAAATTCTCTAGAGGTGTTTGAAAACTCACTTCAACAACATTCTTCATGCCTGGTGATTTGTAAGTCATAGTGTGTCCATCCACAGTGTAGGAGAGATGATATGAGCAAGTTTGCATCTCTGGAGAAGATGGCGCAATGCAGCTCACCGTTACACACACACCATATGGCTCCCTAAAACACTGCACCGCGAACAGTGTGTTATTTATTTTATCAACTAGGATTTTTACCTTATCACTAATGTTCATCCGAACACTTGAGGACTTATCATACGTAAATAATTCATATGGATGCAAGGGAGTGAGACAGGTATCAACATATGTATAATAGTGATAGCCGACATCTCTGTATGAGCCAGTGTAATCACAGCCCAATGCAGGGCAGGGGCATGGAGAGAAGAGGCATTCCTTTTCATGAGTTGATTCTAACCCATAAAAGACATATTCGGTGCAACCAAACTTGGTGTTCGGACATGGAATAGAGATTGAACTAAGAACACTCTCCATTGCTCTGCAGCGAATGTGGCCAATAGGCAAAGCACATGATGGACATTTATTCATCAGTTTGGGACAGCAAGAAGAGCATGCCAAATGTCCATTCTCACACTGAAAGCACACAAAAGAAAAAAAAAAAACATCGAGTTATGATTTAAAGCTGTAATAACAACGCATACTCGAGATAAAATAGAACATAATGTATAAGCTTGTAACACAGAGAACCGAAACACAAGTTCTTGATTATGCCCTAAAGCTATCAAATACTGTTTTATCATTCACATGATAGTTTCAAGAACTACAACTAGAATCAAGAACTTGGGTAAAGTGAGTAATATCTCAAAGCTATTAACACTAAATCCTCAAAACAGAAACAATGCCAAATTCAACTAAGTTAAAAGGTGGAAACAAGAAGACCTGGAAGATAGGAATGGTCAGTTTTCCCAAGCAAATGGGACACCCAAGAATATCAAGATCCATCTGCATCGTCGAGCGTTTCTTCGAAATACCAGTGGGAGAAACCGAAGAAGCTTGTCTCTTTCGTGAGACACTAGTACTACTGGAATCAGATCTTTCTCCCGAACTTTGCGAATTTGAGCCTCCAGCCATGTCAGGAGTACTGTTCCGACCAGTTCTTTCGTCGGGATTTTGCGAGATCGAGGCTACAGCAACGTCAGAAATACTGTAAGGACTATATCTATATATTTCTCCCGAATAATCCGACATCGAGGCTACCATGGCAGAGGAGAGGCTTAACTCTTGGAAAACCTAACCGGAGAAAATGTCTTAGAACCCTAAATCCCTATTTTCTCTATTTCGGAAGTGAAAAATTTATCAATAAATAGAAATAATCAAGACTAAGTCTGCAAGCAATGCCTTGTTTTTGGAAATTTTTTGGCTTTATATAAATTTAATAATAAATTTTATAGTTATCTTGTAGAATTTAATATAATTTTTAATAATCTATCATTATCTTATAAGAAGAAAAACTATACTGAGAATAAAATTTATTTCGATTTTTACTATTTATCCGTTAACTGTTGAATTTTACTAGGTGTGATTTTTCTTAAATATAAAAATTTAAATTAAATGAGGTAAAAATTGTCATTTTTTTCTATTTTTATTTAAATTAGGAAGAGGTAGTTTTCAAAACAAAAATCAATAAGTCAATATCAATAGTGATAATAATAAATAACTAGATTGAGAAGGACAAGTGGGCTAGTGGTTCTCACCTCTGTTGCCTTCTCAGCAGATCCGGGTTCGAACCTGGTTCCTCTTAAAGAGAGACGTATAATTTGTAATGATGACAAAAAAAAAATAACTAGATTATGATCCACCATATGTGTGGATTCAGAAATTTTAAATAAAACTAATTTTACAAAAAATAGTTTAATTATGTTTTTGTTGTAAGTAGGATTGATCATTGGGAAGTAAATAGAGAATTTTTTTTTGTCTCAACCACACATTAATTAATCTATTTTTATCTTAATATTAACAAAATTAGATATAACATGTTGCGATATCTTATGTTTTACTTGACACTTATCATGATCACATGAGTTAGTAAATTTAAAAACCAAGTTTCAACATATAATCTTGTTTAATTGTTAAACTTAAACAATAATTTTAATTTACAAAGATAAAACCATAATTCTCATTTATCATTTATATACCCAAACCAAGAAATAATTTGTTTTAATTGTAAAATTAAAGTTTAAACCTTAATCCTCTTATGTAAACAAAAACCGACATATATTCTTGTTAATTATAAATTTTAAATCCCTATCTTATTAGTAAACCAAATTGACATAACTGAAATTAGGTTATTTGCTTAATTTTATTAATAATTTTTAATATATAATCATTTATAATATTTGTTTTATATATTTCCTTTTTTGATAGGGTTAATAATATTCCTATTTTATCTAAATATTAACAAAATTAAAATCGACATGTGTCAACATCTTAACGTTAATAATTGACACATGTCACGGTCTTGGTAATGGCTGACTTTGAAAACCAAGATTTATATAATAAGATATATATGATTTTAGTTGATGTGGGACGTTAAAGATACACCATTTTCTATTAATTAAGTAATATATGTCCTTTTAAAAATTAGAATCATAAATAAGAATTTTTTTTTGATAAATATTGATTAAATTTATGTATAATATGATTATTCAAAATTATAAAATAATATCAAACATATATGATAGGAGAATCAAAATTATAAATTTTAGCAAAAACATTTAAATATTTTTATTATAATTATGGAAAATTATACAAATATTTATAATTTTTATAATTAGCGTTAAAATATCTTAATTATGTCTGGTTGAAAGGTATAGTTGAAAAAAAAATAACAGTAAAATTGTTTAAATACATAAATAGTATATAGTAATGACATTCTATGTTATGAGTTTTTAAAACAAATACAGTAAATTGTTATTTCAAAAATGTTAATATAGATAACCGAATTAATCAAAGTACATGCATGGTCCATGACCGAAGTAAAGTCTCACACCATTCCAACTATTGGTTCAACTTGGTGACACATATCTTCAACATGAACCATCGACGTCCAGACATGAAATAAGAAGGAACCAACATAAAATCCTCTCTAGGGATTTTAGAACTCAGCTTTTGAATGTTCTTGACCTTCATAGACTTGAATGCAATGGTGCGTTGTTCAACCGTAGTCGATATATCACAGGAGAACTCACCAACATCCATCGAACAAGGAGCAATATAACCAACAGTCACATAAACACCATTAGCCTTACTTACACAATGAACAGCAAACAATAGACCTTCCTTATTTCCTTTCATAACCGTTAAAGCTGTCTCATTGAGGTCAACGTATACTCCTAAAACCTTGCCAAGAGCAAACGGGAAATAATATTTTCCAATGTTGTCGAGAATGTGACTATCCAAGTGACCGTATAGATCATTGTATGTGCCTTGGTAATCGCACTTCGGTACAGGGCACATGCAAAGAGACAAGGGACACTCTTTTACATGAGTTGATTCTGTCCCGTAAGTGATATTCTTGGTGCAACCTAACTTGGCGTTTGGGCATGGGACAGAGATGGATTCAAGAACATTCTCCATTGCTCTGCAGCGAAAGTTACCAATGGGTAATGCACATGCAGGACACTTATTCATCAGTTTGGGACAGCAAGAAGCGCAAGCTAAATGTCCATTGTCACACTGAAAATACAAAACCAAAGCCGAGAAACAAAACCTTACAAAGGATTCTTCCAATGAAAAGAGACAGAACTCAGAGTATTACATGAAAAACCAACCCAATTGTAAGATTGAAATAACATCGGTCTTTACACTTATCCAAATATCTTGTTAATGCAAAGTTTGACAAGAAAAAACAAAAGAAGCTATATGAATCAACAACGCAATATTTGAAACGTTACCTGGAAGATAGGAATTGTGAATGGCTCAACGCAAATAGGGCAATCGAGCAAATCAAGATTAAGAATTGTCGAGCGCGGTTTATCCTCTGTTTGTTGCGTCTCTTGCAAGTGAGTGTTGCTCAAACTGTTTACATCGCTTGAGGCACACTCCATAACGAAAATATCAAAGTCGTACGTCTAGCACTCCAAACAACGTGCTTCTACGTATATCAGCACGAACACCACCAACTACACGAGACACGAGATGCTGGAACCGTACGTTAACAGCTTCGTCTTATTTAGGTTTAGGTTTAGGTTTCTTGGTTTGCTTAGGTAAATAAAAACTTCTCCACGAAAACGTATCTCTCTGATACTCTCGATGAAGACGATGTTTTTTGTGCTTTTGCTTTTTATTTTATTTTTGTCTATGTTCACGAGCATCATGTGAATATTCAATATATATATTATCAAGACTTCAAAATAAACTAATAATCTTTCATAATTCTTTTTAATTTTGTATAAAAAGGAAGATCAAGATATTGACATTAAATCACGTATATTATCAAGAAAAAAAATGAGTCACATATTCTTAGATATTCTCCAAACCTCATAGGGATTTGTCATCGTTATCATTTAGTGAGAAGAAGCACAAAATAAATCGTTTTTAGTGAAATAACAAAACTAGCGGCGTCGTGTTTTGAAAGTGGAAGTTTTTGAACCATGTAGGAAACTAATTTTGGCATATGGTTGTAAAATCAATTTTGTTTTGGTCGGAGTAGCTTCATGTTCTATTTCCTTGCCTTATAAACTCCTGTCTTGTCTTAAGGTTCCACTCTCATGTGACATGTGGCCTTGATTAAAAATATGATTAATTGGGTTTTTAGTACATTTTGAAACATAATTGTATAAGTAGTACATTTACTATTCATTATTAGCAACTAATACATTTTTACTATTTGGACACTATTTAGACACTATTAAAAACCCCCTTAAATCTAATAACTAAAAATATTCATCAAAATATATTTGTTTTCTATAAAATTTCAATTACATAAAAATCTATATTTTTTCTCTATAATTTGATATGCATTTTTAAAAATATAATTTCAAATATTTTTCAAACAAATTTTGATGCGTCCAGGTATCCTTATGTACAGTTGTGTGTCGATGTACGGAAAATCATCCGTACAGCGGTCTATATATACGTATAATTGTATGTGTACATATATTTTCTTGTCTATATATGTATATTTCTTTATGTGTAAATATGTTTATATGTAGTTGTTTCTCTTTGTACAAATATTTGATGTACAATAATATGTTACTGTACAGTTGTCTGTCTGTACAGATATCTGAAATAGTAAAATTGTACTATTTTGCTAATTATGAATAGTAAATGTACTATCTTTATAATTATGTTTCAAAAACGTACTAGTTTGCCAACACACCCTTAAAAATAATATATATCAACTTTATTTTGGTATCAAAGCACAATCTTGACTCTTGGTAGAGAGTTATATTTTATGCAGCACAGTATTAACTAATGATTTTTGAATGAGCGGCTGAAAAAAAGTAAAAGCTTACGTGACAATTTGTTGTAGACAAATCGATATGCCTCAAATGAAAGAAGTCGTCTGTTACGAAATAGAGAGTACAAAACATGTATGACGCTATAGCATCATATGATAAAATAAGGTATTGATTGCTATATGATGTCCTTTATATCATCTGCATTGCACAAAAAAAACGGGATTTTGAACGTTAAATATAATTAAAATAAGAAAAACAGAGTAAATAGGAAAGAACCGTGTCTCTGAATAGATATTTTGGTCATTTGAAACACTTTACGTGTCAACATCTAAATGGAAGGAGAAAAATCGATACTAATCAGGTGTTTAGATTAAACTAATATTAAATTTTCATAGTAAATTATATTAATATTGTTACAAAGTTTACTAATGTGGATGATCTTAGTCGAATCTAAAAAGATAAAAAAAAGTTAGGTACTGAACTTCTCTTAAAGCGTTATAACATTCTTGAGATATTTTGCTTTATGAGAAAAGTAACCAATAAATACAAGAATATTTTGCTTTATGAGAAAAGTAACCAATAAATAAACCTTTACAATTGGATATAACTTCAACCAATAGTAAAACACCAACTTATAGATTGAAGATGCAACCCATATAATTAAAGACACATCCCACTTGTGTTAGGTTTGGCCATGAATCTGAGTCTCCCCAACGAATCACTTCTCCATGATTTATCTCTCTCGCAACTCAACCAATACACATCGATCCACCTAGCTCTTTCGATATTAGCCAATGATCATCATCATTTACATCCCTTAGACAAACACAAGTCCCAAACTTCCATAGATTTTCCCACCATCCAAATGACAAAATTTGACTTTTTCCCAAAAATAAAAATCCTAAACACATAAAAAGAGAGAAAACAACGTGGCCTTGGGCTAATATTGGACCATTTCTGTCAGTATATTTAACTTAGAATAACCAAAAACAAAAAGTGTCTAGATTCAATGTACCAGAAACAAAAAACAAAACAAGAAAGTAGTTAAAGTTTAGAGAGATACTAGGATCCGCTTTAAATGTGGAATTGTACTGCAAGAAAAAACGTATAAACCTCAAAAAGCCGTCTAGATTCAATCATTTAACTCCCACAAGCATCTCGGGATTCTCCTTTTTCACATTTGTATATATTAATACAATTCTTGAATATAGAAAATATCACATTCGTTTTCTAATTCTCTCACTTTCTTCTTCTTTTTCTTCTTCTCTAGAGATTGTTGCGTGAGGCTAAGAAGATCAAAAGATGGTTTTGTGGGTATTTGGATATGGATCTTTGATATGGAACCCAGGTTTTGATTTTGATGAGAAGCTCATTGGTTATATCAAAGATTACAAACGTGTCTTTGATCTCGGTATGTTCAATAATAAACCAACACATGGTTCTCTCTTTTGGTTGAAAGAATGAATTCGAATTGTTTGTTTATAATTTCTTGATTTTTTTTTCTATGTATGTAGCGTGTATTGATCATAGAGGTACTCCTGAACATCCTGCTAGAACATGTACTTTGGAACAATCCATTGGAGCTATATGCGTAAGCAATTACATTTTAATTTTGCTCTTATGAAAATTATAGTGTTTATATAGTAAATAGCCTATTTATGAAGCAAAAATAACTTCCAAGTGGGTCGAGTTGTTGAAAACAATTCATTTTATTAGTATACATTCCGTTTTTAAAAAAAATCTATAGGATTAAATGCACCATGAAATTTACATAGAACTAAATTTAGTCTAATATAGATTGTTGCCCGCATTAAAAATAGAGTTGCCTAGCGCTTGGAACGAAATCATATAACATGCTTTGGTTTCGAGTTGGACTTTGGCCCAGAACCTCTTTGATTATTCCAAAATAATAATAATAGAGTTGTTTAGTTTGCTAATGGTTTAATCATTTTTGCCTATTATATCTCCTTGGAAAACCGTATTTGAAAATCTGATTTTGAGATTTGTGGGCAGTGGGGTGCTGCTTATTGTGTTAGTGGAGGACCAGAGAAGGAGAAACTAGCTATGGAGGTAATAAAAAGAAGATTCCTCTATTCTTTGGTGTTGTGTCTTTTGTTAGATTTGGTTATTGATTTGGCTCATCTTTTTGTTTTTTCTTGCAGTACTTGGAAAGAAGAGAGTGTGAATACGACTCTAAAACCCTTGTCGAGTTTTACACTGTAAGCAACTTCTTGATGTTATTGTTGTTGCCTTTTTTTCAAGATTTTCAAGAAATCAAGATTTTATAAACTTTTTCTTATTTATTAAAGATTTCTATTTTCTTGGATGTGTAGGAAACTGACACTTCCACACCAATCGTTACCGGAGTTATTGTGTATGTTTTTGAATCAAGAATCTAATCCTTTGTTCCACTCAATGGTTCAAACTTGGAAAATTCAATGTTGAAATGATCAATTTGGTTTTCCTTTGTGTAGCTTCACGTCAACACCAGACAAAGTGTCGAACAAATACTATTTAGGCCCGGCTCCATTGGAAGATATGGCTAGGCAAATCGCTACAGCTACTGGACCATGTGGGAACAACAGAGAGTATCTTTTCAAGCTTGAGAAAGCAATGTACGACATTGGTAAGAGATCTTTCTTAATGACCTTAGTTATATTAAAGAATCACAACTTTTTGGTATATGATTTTGAAAATGTTGTGTGTTAAACAGAACATGAGGAAGAGTATGTGATCGAATTAGCGAACGAGGTGAGGAAGCAACTCGAGTTACCAGAGGAAGTGAAAACATTGTTAAAGCCTATGATTTCTCGTGTACCCTTAGTCAAGTCTCATGCTCATGCTGCTTCTTCCACTCGTCAAAGAGTCTTTGCATCATGAAGACATTCATTAAGCTAGCCAGCTAACAACATTGTGGTGATTAGAGGCTAATGTTATCATTGAATATCTCATCTTGACCTTGAGATGATGATTAATTTAGTTTGCTTTGTATTTGATGATCAGCAACATAAAGAAACAACTTCTCTATTCTCAGCCCATAAGATATCAAACTAGGCTAAGCCCAATAACACTAAAATATAGATGGGCTTGTAAGCTTAGTTCTTATTATTTCCCTCTTAGTTAAACAAAGTTATGTGTGTTTCTTTAAGAAGTTAATTTTTTTTTTTGTTTAAACAGTTATCTTACATCTGTCAAATTAGTTTATTAACTAAATTATCGTTACATCTGTCAAAAAATTGTATTAGACTTTTGTCATTTGTTGGATTTTAGTGAGACTTTCCTTTTATCGACGAAATCCCAAGATTTTTTGCTTTTCTTAAGATTAGTGAAAAAGTTTTACTATGTATGTTTTTTTTTTTTTTTTTTTTTTTTTTTTTTTAAATTAATAAAACCCCTTAATGGGCTGGGCCCTTAACGGGCCGGTTTCGGATTACAAAAACGAACTCGGCTACCCAAGAAGGAAATCGGAGACTCGCCGGAAAGAAGGTCAGAAGATCGGATCTTGCTGTATAACCGGAGGCAGAGAATCAGAGCATTAGGACCGGCGAATTCGAGAAGCACGACGTTGCGGCAAGGTCGAGGGGATGAGGTACTCCGATGGGAGAATTCGAAACCCACCATTGAAACCAATCTGCCGACTCACCAACCTGCTACGCTCCTCCCGGAATACTCAACTGCCCGACAACCGGTTCCGAGAAGTCAGATCCCAAACCTAGCAATCCGACAACCGGGAATCTATCCCCTCCGACCAAACCAGAAGCCTCGACGTCCTCTGAGCCAAAACACACCAAACCGGACCAGTGGAAACCACAAACGGCGGATCCGGCAGTTGCTTGGCTCAAGCAAACAAACCAGAACCAAAACCCGCAGGGGCCAGCAGGAACCGAAGGACCTACCGTGAACCACCGAATCTGAACAGCGAACCCACCGAGTCTTCACTGACTTCCGCCGTAGCCACAACAACCAAAGGGAAGGTTGAGCCAGGGAGAGTCTCCGATACAACCGCCAGCGTCTTCAACCAGGGTCATGCGCAGCGGAGCTCTCCGCCGTCCGATTGGAGCCGCCGCTACATCAGTGAAAAAGACACCACACCACCGCCGTCGGAGGAAGAATCGCCCATCACCGAAGCTCAGTTATGCCAATCACCCACCATCGCTACGCTCTGCAAGAAAGAAAGACAAAGGGGGGGAGGGAGAAGCCACACACGCACCGGCGAAGCCAACGGAGGTACTTCCCCCTCGAGCAGGTTTACGGCTAGGGTTGTGGAAGAGAGAGGAGAGAGCGTTTTGTTTTTGGGCCTCTCAAAGGCTTTTTTTTACTATGTATGTTTCTAGGCCATTGACTATCTAAATATTTTGTTATTTTCCATATATAATATATTAATATAAGAATTTTATTTAATAATGATAGATTTTATTTATTGAAACTTAAAAAATATATACTAAATAATTGGTTTTATGAATTATGTACATGTACAGGTTTAAAGATGAAAATGATATTATATTAAGAAATTAATCTTTCTTTTAAATACAAAATTTCTTTACATCTATCAAAATATATTTTTTTAAATAACAAAATTTCAAAATAACTTACTACCTAACTGATCTAACAAAATAATATAATTAGAATTTTGTCATTTGTCGGGTTTTAGAGAGACTTATCTTTTTATGCAATGTTAGACTTTTATGGTTTTCTTAAAATTAGTATAAACAAAATAAAAATATCTAACATTGCCATTTTAGTGAGACTTATCTTTTTATGTTGAAGTAGTCAAACGATGAGTGACCTTTCGGGAAGTGCCTGTCGGAACTGTGTGAGTGAGACCAAAACACAGGAAAATATCATGTGTTGATTTGTAAGGTCGGTAAACAAGACATTAAGCCTCCCAGACATAGCAAACTGACCGTCGGATATGTATAGGCTCACAAGCCTAGTGAGAAGACATGAGGCCTACTGGAAAGGTGACGATCGGGGTGTTAAACTATTGATAATACATTTTCTATTTTCCACAAAATAGTAGTTATTAAAATTTTCCAATTAATTATTTTTGGTAAATAATTTAGTAGGTAAAATATTAAAGTCAAGAATTCAATTTTGTTATTAAATTATTCAAAATTATGTGATAAAAGTTTTCCAAAATTATGTGATCAAATTTCTTGCCAAGTATATTATATTGTTGAAAAAGAATAAAATATTTGATTCAAACTTTCCAAAATCTCTCATTAGTCAAAAGAAGAACACTAATTACTCTTTTAAAAAATAAAACCATGAATGAAAAAACAAAATAAATTGTTAAACTTTTTATTATGATATATAGAAAATTGGCGCGAAATAACAAAAAAAAGCTTCCAAAATCTCCTATCAATCAAAAACAGAATACTTACAAATCCGTTACTTTTAAACATGACAAAAGACCGCGAACAAAATGAAATAGAAAACGGTCAAACTCATTTCTTAAATACCAGATTAACGAAAATTTACCGCTAAAAACCGTTAATTCTTTTTTCGAAATCTCTCTCTCAGAAATCAGAAAACACCGAAATCACAACTACTAAAAGCTAATAAACCATTAACACAAAAATCCTAAACTAGAACAAAAGAAACATGTAACACCCAAAGAAAAAGCATATCCCCCAATAAAAAAACACACAAAATCTCAAACTTTTTAATAACTCACACAAGTCCACAACATAAACCAGGAGATCCCGGAGTCACACCACACAACCGCGCGGACAAGTAACGACTTAAAACCAATCAAAACAGACACGCGTCATGCTCTAATAGGATCAAAGTTTACACTTATCGTAGTCTCGTCCTTATCTGATTCATTTCCGGACTCCTCCTCATCTTATTAAATCCGGTTAATTGTTTTCGGGTCCGCCCCTTTTCTTCTTTCACAAACACATCCTTCTCTCTCTAAAAAAAAACACTTCTCAGCGCCGGTCAAATACTTGTCTCTCTCACTCTTTGTCTTGTCTCCTCTCTCGACGCTGTTCTGTAAGAGATGGACGCAGGTGGTGCCGCGTACAACCCACGCACCGTTGAAGAGGTGTACAGAGATTTTAAAGGTCGTAGAGCTGGCATGATTAAAGCTCTAACCACTGGTATAACATTTCCTTTTTTTGTCATCTCTCTCTCTCCACCATTTTCTCACCGGAAAAGCTCAAATTTTTACTCTTTTTTTATTTATTACCCTTTATTATGCAGATGTTCAAGAGTTTTACCGACTTTGTGATCCTGGTGAGTGTTGTTGTTTTCCCTTTGAGATTCGTTTGTGGGTTTTGATTTTTTGTTGATGAAAGTTTGGTTTTTTATTGTGTTCTGTTTTCAATCTGAATGTTGTTTCAGTGAGGTCTTTTAGGGTTCTTCATAAGTGTCTCTCTGCTCTGTTTGTGAATGGAATTGTATCTGTTGTTAGATTTCTTTGAATTGCGTTTCAGAGTCGAAAGTTTTGGTTTTTAATTTGACTTTTGGATATTTGATTACAATTATATATTAAAAGATGATTTGCGATCCCTGTGTGTTTGTGTGACAATTTAAAAAAAATATATTTCTCCTTTTTTGAATTTGCTTTGTTGTTGTGGTTTGGTTCAATTCTGAGTGTTGTGTTGTTTCAATGAAGCATTAGGGTTCGTAGGTTATCTTCTGTGTTTGTGTAAGTTTGTGTAAAAAAATAAAAATCGTACCTTTTGTCAGATTTATTTGAGCTGAGTCATCAAAGTGTTGATTTTTGTTTGACTAGGTTTTTCAATTGGGATTTTTTTGAATATTCCAAAAAGGGAAAAAAATTGTGTGAAACTCATGATTTGGGATTACCTCTAATTTTATTCTTTGGTTCTGTATCTCCTTAGATTTGGTCATTGGTTTGCTGCTGTTATCTATGACTCAAAGCCAACAAGGAAACACTTTTTTGATTGTGTTCCTCAGAATTCAGAGTCACTAGTCACTACTGTTGTATTTGCTTCCTTGCCTTAGTTGTTTTGGGATGTTAATTAGTTAGATAATCATTGTGTCATTGTGTGTGTGTCTTTGCTTTATGTCATCTGGCTTAGTGTTTTTGGTGCTCTTTCCATTAAGAGATTTTCTTGTTTGTTGAATAATGACAATTTGGTTATCTGTGGTGATTTCTATATGTGTTTCTGTTGCGATCGCGTGCGATGTACTATTATCCGACTAGGCCATATCTTAAAAGGGACTGTTGGATCATTTTTTTTTCCGTAATTGGTTGTTTGTTTGTTCAAAGTTATGAATATGGAATGAGTTTTTGATGCATTAATATATTCTGATTTAACAATGCTTATGCTTATGTCCTCATTTTTCCTTTTGTGATTACAGAAAAGGAGAACCTGTGCCTGTATGGGCATCCTAATGAGAACTGGGAGGTGAATTTGCCAGCTGAAGAGGTTCCTCCTGAGCTCCCTGAGCCTGTCCTTGGTATCAACTTTGCCAGAGACGGGATGGCGGAAAAGGATTGGTTGTCTCTTGTTGCTGTCCACAGTGATGCTTGGCTTCTTGCTGTTGCTTTCTTTTTTGGAGCCAGGTTTGGATTTGACAAGCCTGATAGGTATGTATCTACTTGCCACGCGTGGCAGTTTGTATGACTAGAACTCCTTTTTGAGTCTTTTCTTCTTGCATCTATGTTTCTTGGTGGTATATAGATTCAAACCTCTCATAGGCTTTATGTTGGTATCTGTGATTGATGTTCTTTTATACTCGTTGCAGGAAGAGGCTTTTCAATTTGGTGAATGACCTCCCTACAATTTTCGAGGTCGTGACTGGCACTGAGAAGAAACAGGGGAAGGATAAGTCTTCTGTTTCCAACAACAGCAGCAACAGATCCAAATCAAAATCAAACTCCAAGGTAAAAACTTTGTTTCCCTCTTTAGTTCTACTCTACAGTTTTTATTGTCTATCTAGCTTTAACTTTTGTTCTACATTACAGCGAGGATCTGACTCCCGTGCCAAGTTCTCGAAGCCAGAGCCCAAAGAAGAAGAGGAAGAGGAAGATGTGGAAGATGAAGAAGATGAGGATGAGGATGAGCAAGGAGAAACACAGTGTGGGGCATGTGGTGAGAGCTATGCAGCTGATGAGTTCTGGATCTGCTGTGACCTCTGTGAGATGTGGTTTCATGGGAAGTGTGTGAAGATAACCCCAGCAAGGGCTGAGCACATCAAGCAATACAAGTGCCCATCTTGTAGCAACAAGAGGGCTCGTGCCTAAATTCATTTTTGTGGCCGCCACTCTGTGTATCTGCTTTGCATATGATGAACAGCTTAACTGTTTGGTTAGATCAGATTTTTCATGTGATTTGGTAATCTTAGGCTCTTTCGCCGGCTTAGGAAGACATTTTTAGTTTTTCATTGTTACGTTTGGCGATTGAGGAATAACTCTTGGGTTTTAGGGTTTGGTCTTTGGTCTGTTTTATGTTTGTTTATTAACATTCTTGAACCCCAATCAAAGTATTTGGTTAGGTGTTTTGTCATTTCGTTTTTTCATTTCTAAATGAAGAAACTGTGACTATGAATGATTTATATCATACATCATGTCTGCTTCTTTGTTGCCAGGCGCTTCAAGAACTCGTAGGTTGTGATCATCGTTGTTGCAGACATCGACATTGAGACCCACCTTGGTCCTAACCCTCGGTAACAAGCCCCAAGTCCTCCTTCCCTCATCAAGCTTTTCACCGACTGCATTACTGTCATTGCTCGTCGCCTTCCATTCTCTTCTGCGTCTAAGACCTGCAACCGCGTCTTGATTGTATCGACTGGCATGGTTACTAAAGCAGAGCAACCACTTGCTGTGGCTGCACTCAATGCTTGAACCACCATTGAGCCACCAGTATCTTCCTTGCGAGTGTAGGAATGCTTGAATCGAGACCAAATTGATTTCTGAGCCAAAGAATAGGACGCCCACCATACAGCGTTTGAAGGTGCGTAAGTCAAGATCGAGATCCCAAATCCTCTGTAGAACCCTCTTGGCCCATCAGTGTAGAGAATCTTTCTAAAAGCATCTAACCCATTTGTGTATCTGCAAGAGTTCATCACTCCAGGAAGATGCTTATTCAAGGACAGATCACCTTGAACCATAAGCCGTTGACTCACGACATCAATCGGGGTCCAGACAATCTGAGCAGCCACGGCCGAGGTCAAACCAGCCGCACCGTTGGAAACAGCCAAAGCCGTAGTATCCGACAATCCTAACCTAACAGTTGCTTGACCTACACTACTCTTCGTAATCTCTAGAGCTGTCATATAGAGAGCACGAGCCGGGATGGTTCCAAGTAAAGAAGTTCCAAACCCTTTGTAAAAACCCCTTAGACCCTCAAATCTAGCAATGGCCAGAGAAATATTGGCGCAGGAGACACGAGTGGGAGAGACTTGCTGCCTTGTTTTGAGGACAACAATAGGGTAAAGAGCAGTGGATACACCGGAGAAAAGACCAGCACCGAGGAAGAAAAACCTCGATTTATCAAGCATTTGCCAATCTATATCCTTAGGCATATGTACCTGAGAAGAAGAAGATGATGAAGACGTCGTCGCTCTTCTCTTCTCTTCCATCAAAGCACCCAAACTCATATTTCCAGCTTACCTTTCCTTAAAAACCAAATCAAGATTCCAACTTTCACTTCTCACCGAGAAAAAAAAGAGAAGAGAGATGAACAGAGTTGATCAAGAAAGAGAGAAGCTTTCTTCAGCCACTAATGTAAAGAAATATCTTGTGGAGAAGAGATGAAAGAGAGAGGAGGAGAGAGTTGAATATATAAACAAGTAGCTGTCTCTGAGATTTGAGCATACAAGAAGAGAGATCTTGGTGTGGATTTATTAAGCTTCAAAATCTGTGAACTCGAGAATGTATTAAAAATAGTATTATAGTGAAACAGAGAGAAGCCAAAACCAAAACGATGGGTCGTGTGGATAACATAAAGGAGCGGCCTTTAACAGACTCAAGAGGTGGTGAAGAGAGAGAGAGAGGCATAGGAGTGAGGAGGAATGGGACTAGACACGTGGAGGATGGTGGTTGGTTTGTGTTAGAGAAACTCGCAGTTTTTAAGGTTACATGAGTCTGAGATTGGCTTAATGTCTGATTTGCCCACTTGTTTACATCTTTCTGTGGGTTTCACATTTTGTTTTTCTTTCTATTTTGTTTTTCTTTTTTTTTGCCAATTCCTGTGGGTTTGTCATTTTAATTTTCGAAATGTTAGAATATATATATTAATAACCTTTTTTGTTACATTTTAGAGAAATTTGTGTATATTTGTATATGGATAACATAAACTAGTTGACCAAATTAATCTTGTTTGTTTTTCGAGTTTTGTGGACAAATTAATAAAAACTAGATGATGACCCGCACGTACGTGCGGGATTTATTTCAAAACTAAGTTTGCTATCCAGTTTATAATATATTACATATATGCATAGTTATATATGTTAATGTATCTTTTAGGTATGTTATATACTCACAATCCATTAGTTACTGATTTGTCTTTCGTTTGATTTTAGACAAAAATTGATCAGACTTATTTTCATTATCAATAAAGACAGTTACTAAAATAATATGGTTAAGAGAATTTTTGAGAAATACCCCTTTTGCTGTACCCCTTTTGGTGTACCCATTTTGGTGTACCCCTTTTTAAAAATATCTCTTTTATCTATCCATTTTCAAAAATACTCCTTTTTAAATATTAAAAATTATAAAGTTTTATATAGTTGATAAGGTACTTCTATGTAATAACTACTACTGGCAGATTCAATACAAATTTTTTAAAATGTTTTAAATAGTTTTAAATCGTTTTTATAAGTTTTATAAGGTTTTTAAAAGGTTTGTAAAAGGATTTCTACGGTTTTATAAGGTTTTTATAATGTTTTTATAATTTATTTTTACGCTATTTATGAAAGGTATATAAAGTTTTATACACATATAAAGGTAATTTGTGTATATATTTATAAGCTTACACACATATTTGGATAAATTTCAACATTTTTAGTGGGGTTTTCGATAAAGTTTGAAAAGGGGGTATTTTTGAAATTCCCCCTATATTTTTTTCTAAAAGATGGTTAAAGTTTGATAAAATAATTTAAAAAATTAAGATATTTATGGTATTTTGGATATTTCAATTATTTTACTATAAAAAATAGTTGACATTTTTTGAATTTATAATTGTAATATTTGATAATTAGAATACATAATTTTGGTTTTCTAAGTTTAAAACTCATTCGAGTATTCCATAGTGTTCGAATTAGATTCGTTTCGGTTTGGATTTTTGGATATGGGTATTTTCACAGCCCTAGGTGATATCTCTTTTTGGATTATTGGTTAAGGATTTGATTTTTTTTAGATATAATTATTTGGTATAATATTTTAATTTAAAATTATATTGGTTTAGTTTCATTTGATTGTGAATGTTTTAATGATAATGGTTTCACCATAAAATCCGAAATTAGTGACTGGTTAAGTTTGTATTAAACTTGTGAACTATCAAACCAGAAAAAACA